AAAATAAATTCAAAATCTTCAAAACCGTTGTCAAAAGTCGAACGATCCATGCTTAAACGTATTTATTACGACGGAGAAGATGCCGGGTCTTACGCCGGCTTCGATCAAGTTTGGCGCAGAATTAAAGACCGTGGCATTTCGAGAAAACAATTGAAATCGTGGTTGAGTGAACAAGATGCCTATACTTTGTTTAGAAAGACTAGAACTCGTTATAAGCGTAGGAAAGTTGAAGTTCGCTCCATAGACGAACAATGGGATTCGGATCTGGCCTCTTTCATAGACCTGGCTGAATTTAACGATGGCTATCGCTATCTGGCTATTTTCATTGACACCTTGAGCAAATATCTCTTCGTGGAGCCTCTTAGAAATAAAACCGGGGCTGAAATGGTAGGAGCCATGCGCCGGGTATTCCAAAATGGACGCAAACCAACGCGCCTGCGTACCGATCAAGGTATGTCATGGAACATGGAACAAACCATCTCATTCATGGAGAACTGATCGATTTTTGTATTAAATTTTGTTATTGTTATTTGTTTGAGCCAAATCTTAGATAATATCGTCATTTATTCATCATATTTGTGTAGGTACAGAGTACACGAATGCCAAAGTCAAGCGTTTTTTAAACGAACAAAATGTATGGCACTTCACCACGAGGTCAGATACGAAAGCAAATTTCGCGGGTGAGTACACTCCCATTTATCAACTTAGCAATGGAAACATTTTTTGAATTTTTACTAAAATCTGCTTATGTTTGGCGTTTCAAAGAATGGGCATTTCTACGTTCTAGAGAGGGTCATTAGGACGATCAAGGATAAGATCTTCAGAATGCTCTATCACAGAGGGAACAAACGCTACATAGACGATTTGCCCTCTCTAGTGGAATCCTACAACAAAGCTTACCACCGCACTATCAAAATGTCCCCGGAGTCGGTGAACAATGACAACGAATTTCAAGTTTGGCCGAATATTTACACAGGGTGGAGGCCATCTTGAAAAGACGCCGGCGCGGAGGTCGACGCGAGGTTCTCGTCAAGTGGGCCGGTTGGCCTAATAAGGTACACTCCACTCCACAAGTTTGGCATCCGGAAGTACCTTTTCGGATACCTTATCCTGTTTATGTTTAGTGATCTTGGAAATTGATAAAATTTGTCATGAATTTTCGATCTATTAAGGAACGAAATTAAAATCCAAACAAAGAAAGACTTTATAAGTTTTCCAAAATGAGACTTCCGGTTGCCAAACCTATGAAGGGGAGTGTAAGTGTACACATCTCAGTCCTAGTCAGCGAAGTTGTTACTACTAAAAATGGAATAAAATATAAGGTATGCGCATTTATTTTCAGTTCAATACTTGGATTAACGCGGATGAGGTTAAAGATTTATAAGGACTCGTCTAGATTGTAAGAAATGGTCGACTGGTGGCTTGGTGAAAGTGTACTACCCTTCCAAGCGTGCAGCTCCATAAACGTAACCGGAAGTACGTGTTCCGGCAAATCTAGCTTCGTGTACAAGCTGTTGAAGAATAAAAATGGCATATGTACTCAACCGGTAGGCAAAATCATGTACTGCTACGGCATTCACCAACCTTTATACGAGTCGATGGAGAGAGAAATTCCCGATTTGGCACTTCACCCCGGGCTACCTACGGAAGAGGAATTGGAAAATTTCACCAAAGACAGGGATCATTCGGTTATTGTATTGGACGATCTTCAACAAGATGTGTTGAAAAGTGAACGCATGTCCCTTCTATTCACCATGGGCACGCATCACCGTTGTATTACCGTCATCTTTATCACCCAGAATCTCTTCGGCCAAGGTAAAAATGCCCGGGACGATAGCCCTGAATACGGGCTACACTGTGGCTTTCGGCAATGTACGCGGTGCCGACCAGATAGCTCATTTGGCTAGACAATTGTTCCCGGGAAGGTCGCGGATTATGATAGACGCCTTCGCCGATGCAACCAGAGTCCCCTATGGATATTTAGTTATAGATACGACCCCTAAAAGTAAACCGGAAACGAGGCTGCGCACGCATATTTTCCCGGGAGAGGATGTGGTGATCTACCCTACATCGTCATAAAAACATTTGTGCTACGTGAAATCTGTCAGTTAAATATGCGTTACTGGATGAGTCGGATGAGAACGGCGGACTACCTGGGACTGTCTTACTTCCTGCTGAGTAAATACTTTTATTTGCTTTTGTTTCTTAGATGGAGATGAAACATGAATAGTAGAAAAACTGTGATGATCCCCTTTGAACGTTATCAACGGCTTCTACGAAATTCCGAGCAAGATAGCAAACAAGAAGAAGAGATTAGCGTTACTACTAAAGAAAGCAACGAGGAATCATTGGGGAATAAATTAAGTGATACAGCGTCGAAACTATCGGGTTCTAAGACATTTGACATTGATAAAGCTGATACTGAAAAGGACTCTGAAGCTTTACCCAAAAGAAAGGAGACTGTTATCATTCCACCTGGTATACCCGAAAGGACGAACAAACGAAAATCGACGAAAACTAGGGACGTGACCGTCCCATTGAGAAAAAGAAAACGAGATCCAATTACTTCTCAAAGGGGAAGGGGCGCGGTAGCAGTCGCAGCATCGACTAGTAAAACCAAGTGGATATCGCTCTAATTCGATATGAGTCGACTGATAAATGAACATAAAGCCTATCTGGAACTATTGGCTAAAACTAAGTCGAAGTCCCAGCGGAGTGCGTTGATTAGGACAATCTACCCGGGACAATTAAAGGCCTTGGCGGAACTGATTTTGAATGTTCTAGCTGGAAATGTGATCATCTCCAGAAAGGAGAGAATGGATCTTTTAAAATTTAGAGCCACTCTCGAATTCATGGCTGACACTAACATTCCTAATAAGCAGAAAATACAGAGACTGTTGAAAAAATCCAAAGGCATCGTTGTATTGCTTAACATTGCTCTGATGAAAGCGTTAGCTCTTTTATAGGGGTTGTAAAATAAATGTAATAAAATAAGAATAAACTTCTTTATACATTCGTGTTAATTTATTTGTTACTTCGTCGATTAAATAAGAGTACATAATCTAGACAGTGTAAATAGGAATAACTACATGCGTTACATAAAATATGTGCGCTTATATGATAGTGTACATCAAATAAAAGTAAAATTACGAGAAAAAACATTAAGGTAGTTCCGCATTATGAACAATTAAGGTAGTTCTGCATCATGAAGAATACAATAAAATATCAAGGTAGTCATATTTTACAAAATACATCATATGAATTGAATTATAAGTTCAACTGAATGAGAAATCGAATGATTCATTCCAACGTTTTTCAATGGTGTGTGCGGAAGTGCTGAACTACCTTAAATTGATGAGACATCGTTTTACAAGTCCATAGTTTTATATTTGAACCATCGACGGACAGTTCTCACCACCAATTGATCGTTCATTAATGTGTCTCTGCTGAATCTATTCACGATGCTATTGAAGGAATGACCTCGACTGCGCAAGAATGCGAAAAACAAGCAATAATATCCACAAGTTTGAGTGTTCGAAGGTTGCAGTTGAAAGGCTACTGTCGTTAACTTCTCTCCTCGAGAATTGTCCGTCGCGAACCGCTGAAAATCTGGGCCATAGTGCTCGGGTTTCCTGCCCAGAGAGTCGAAAAACTCTAACGAATTTTGGTCTTTATTGAACACGACCCAGTGTAAGCCCGCGTGACTTTTAGGCGCTGTGTTGGCGACTATCAGTACCCTACTGTTTCCTAAATTAGTGGCGGGCAATTCGTCACTGGCCACTACTCCTCCGTAAATTCGTTTAGTATACGGATCGGTGGTTAACATCCTATGCAATGTGAAGCTGTACATGGTTCTGTCAATTCACGATAATATTTCTCGAGGCGTCCACTTCGAAGATTTGAGGAAAACTTCCGCATACGACGAGGTTGACTGGCTCTGAAAGGGCCTCTTCGAAATGCCCCTCCACTTTCACGTTGGCTCTTCTTATCAAGGGCAATGTTTCGTCAACAGATTTGACACTGTCCGAGTATTGAATGTCGAACCTATAGAACGCAAAACCTGTCCCAAACTCCATGCGTGATAAGTCAAGTGGAACATCGGGATCCGCAAATAATCTTAAATATTCTCGAATGTAGTTGCTCTTCCTACTGTTCGTAGCGTCGAAACGTGGTGTCAGGGGTTTCTCGGGAAGGCTCTGATCGTCCAGCCTAACGTCCAAATACTTGAGACCGAATGCCTGCACGTTGAAGGGATTCTTCTTAAAACTTCCACTTTGGGCTTGAGCACTGACCAGGAAACATACGAGCCTAGTGGGAACTGCCCCGTTATAGATGTCGTTGAAGTTGAATTGAAGTTGGCCAGCGGGTATAGTGTAACATTTAAAGTCGTTTTTCTCGTAGGAATAAATGGCGTTCTTCTCGTGTAAATGTTTATCGTAAGACTGTAATATTCCCGGGGATACCGATACCATGGCCATCCTGAGATAGACATCCACGAGTTCCACTTTGTAGATGGTATCCGAGTCTGACATCAGTCTAAAGGCATCCGATGTAGGCGTCAACTTCACTTTCACTTCGATTCCATTGAGTAAAAACTTTTCCATTTGGAAGATGTCTTCCAGCAAAGGTCCCTCCATGTCCACAATTTTACCCTCGTTGCTTTCATCCCATCTGGTCACCAAGCCCCTGGGTGCGTCTAATCCAGTTACATCGGTTCCATCCATGACGTTTCGTCCGCCGAAACAACTATCCTTATAGTACAGCGCGGCGGACAGTTTCCCTTCTTGCTCCTTTTTCGTGGTGTACAACACCGTTTTTAGATAAGCTTTGTACGGGTACATATTGATGGACGTGGGCACGGGACGCTGTTGTAACTGGATCTCCACGTGACCCCATAGAGAATGAAGGAGATTGTTCACAGGACCAAATTTTTCAGTTATCTCGGGTACCGTTCCGTCGGAACGCAAGATACGAGCCTTCACGTAGAGCCTCGAATTTTT